ATATATCTCTGTTTTCGAATGGCTGCGATGAATCGAAGACCGACGGTAGAGATCCCCTTTGGCCCGTCTGGGGCAGTGCTTAGGGCAACAGGACTGGACGTAGAGCTCGAGTCATTCAATTTATTTACGTTAACAGCGGCTGTTTCGTCAGACGCTAGACATTTTTCGCGAATCGGAGACGCTATAGGACAAAGAATGTTACCAGATACGCAAAGCTATATGCACTGACGCCGTCCGAAGTAAGCAAATTGAGTTGATATTACTCACTAATGCTACATATATATATATATGTATATATAACATGCCATGATACTGTCTTTGCGTTCTCGAGAAAATAAACCGTATTTCTATTTCTATTTCTAAAAGACTTTTCACAGGATTTCATGTAGGAAAGGAACCTGTTACATAGGAATCTTCTGGCGTGACTCATTTTTATGAGTAACAATTACGATCCGTAGAAGACACACATTTGTTAAGGTACAAAAGTTATTTTTGCGCACACTGTGATGGGGTAGATTCAATAAAATAAACTAATTTCTTTATTTGTACGTCACTTCCAACATAAGATACTTACACTTTACTTTGAACGTTATTTGAAAGTATAGCAATTTTATAAACTTAAAGTTAGTTAATTGAAAAAATTAACATGCTGCTTCATATACCCTAAGATCTTCGCACGTCGTTTATAATGAAAAAAAATGATCTACATATATTATATATAAATTAAGCTTATTTACGCTGATAAGCCATACACAAAGTCAAAGAAAACTAATCAAACTTTGACGTCTGCTATATAATTTGAATTAAAGATATTTTGTATGTAATCTGCCTTAACTTAAAAACAGGATATGCTTACTATTTCTATTTGTTCAGTGGGACGGGGCATAATATATTAAGACGGAACAAAGAATACTTGCTATATTGTCATTTGCATCATCTTGTACGAGGTTGCCCGGGCTACCTTTAAGTATATCTCCGTATTAAAACTAGCCTAAAACATTTTACTTTGCTACCATATTTTAGCTATATACGTTACCTAAAAGCCTGTCTGTCGCAGTCGCGTTGCTCGGGCGACCAAACACCAATGAGAGTTCGATTAATCGAGTAACTTACTTAATATTACAAGGGTGACTACGTTGGATCTGAGCTTCGGATTATGAGCGATGCCGAAACCCAAATATTTTTGCATACGAGCGACCGAAGCTAAAAATAGCCGAAAAATCGGCTCTCTATTTAAATTCACATCATTTAAGGATACCTTTTATTGTTTATCTTATTAGTTCGCAAGGGTGACCTCTTGGAGAATATGATTTTCCTGGCTATCGTAGCTTATACAGCATCGTCTTTCTCAAACTGTGGTGCAATATGGCAAATACATGTGATGAATTTAACTTAACTTAACTATGGATGTTTAACTGGTCAAAGGGAACGTTCGTAAAGGTAGTAGACTTACAAATTAGAGAATAACTTCGGATAACTTGTACATAACGCGAAAGGAATCACAGTGACAAAGTGACTCAAGCTAATCTTACGACGAATTTCTATTGCATGTGAAGTAACATTTTCTCTTTGCTTTTAAATATAAATTTGTTCTCTGCTTAAACGTTGACACTATTTGCTTACGGAAGCTATAAATAAATACGACCATCACTAGAAAATAACTAGACAACAGACCTGACTCACGTAGTGTTTGCGGAAAACGCGATCAAACGTCGATCCGTTCTGTGACGAAAAAAAAATCAAGTTTTTTTTTTTAAAAATGTATTTCACACTGTAATAATGTTAAATGAAACAAAAAAACATTCATGTGTCTTCTTATTATGAGCGTGATACAACAAATCACCACTAATTGACCCACATAAGATGTCCTTCTCCGGATCAGTTAATTAACGTAATGAGCGTTGTTTTTGGGACCTGACCCTAACGACGTTACTAGCTCCTTATGACTCTGTCCTGTGAATAATTTTGGCCTATATTATAACCAAATATAGGCTTCAGACAATACAGTAACCGAAAAAGTAAATATATAGCTGATGGCATAAAAGCTGACAGATGGGTGTTCTGTTCCAGAAGTGCACGAAGTCTGATTGGCTAAGAATCTAGACAGCTTTGTGACAAATTCAAGTTTTGAGGATTTTAAGGGAAAAGTTTTTAGCCGCTGAGTTACGTAAGCCTACGGCCGGACGCATTATCAAAGATGAGGTCAGTTGCATTCGACATTTTACAATCAGTACTTTGACCTCGTTCCCACGCTTCGTTCAGTGTTTTTAGATGTTTTTTTTTTTTTTTTTTTCTGGTATAGATAAATCAGTTAATATTTAAAAAAGATAAATAGAATCGACAACATCCGCTAAGAAAAATGGTCGCTTCAAATAGAGCATCTCTTTTACTAGCCTTACTACTCGTTGTAGCAATTAGCTAGTATCTATACATACGGTGCGGTTTGTCATTTAAGATTACTACAGCTAAGAGCGGTAATTCCGATTTGTCGGATGAAGCAACATCTTCATGCGGCATAAATTTTAGTAATCTTGAGTAAGACAAGCGGAACGAGCACTACATAGAAAAAGCTTATGTGGTTTGTTTTCGCTCATTAGATAAAAGTTTTCTTTTTTTCGTTCGTTGTGCAGTCGCCTTCATTGCCCACACACTAAATAGCTATTTGCAAATCGATAGATGTGTCCGTATGGTTCCTCAACGATGAGCTTCGCGATTTCGTTAATATATTCTCAACTTTTTTCAAGTTTCCACACTTCACAGAATCTAAGTAGAAAGTTTAACATCTATATGGTATTGGCAGTAGTCGCCGAATTAACACGATACTGCTGCCATTTATTTGCTACTAAATGCCTCGCTGTAACTCTGAAAAAAGCAATAAAGAGAAAAGTGAGTGAAGTTCTAAGAAAAGTAGGACTAAAAATCGGGATTAGACATTAGGTGTTTCTTATGTATGCAAATACAGATAAATGCGCTGCAAAGCTTTCCTATGTTTTTTTTTGGGGTGTCTTTTTTTCTTCCCCGGGATGGCTTAGTGGGTAATGTATTTGACTGCTAATCTCAAGGATAGGTTATGGCCTAGGTCTGAATCCGCGCGCAGACAGGCTTCGTTTCGAGTTGGAGCCAGCCGTCTGATGGAATTATGCCTAACAGCAATACTGCTCGTAAAACTCAAATCATAGGGGTCGATTATTCCAATAGAACGGCGAACGCATTTTTTTCGTGTCTTTCTTTTACTAACCCCAGTTTTCAGTGGGCAAATATGCAGCCACGCCACCTGCCACGGTTAGGTTTGCGATGCGCCGGGTTGCGTTTTCAAGATTTTCGGGGATATATAGATGTTTCTCTTGAACCTGAGATACTATTGGCAAATTTATAGAGATAAACAAAAACAATATTAGCGATTAAACGACATGTGCACATTTGTATAATTACTATTACACAAAGGCGGAACGTTACCAATACTTGGCCAATTTTGAAAACGATAGATGAAGCAACGTTTTCATATAATAGTAGCTGGACTGAAAGATGATAATTAAGAAAAAAAAAAAAATATTTGTCTTCTGCCTCCTTTCCGAAACGTCAAATCTGTGAGAGGCTTAACGGAACTACACTGACCTGTCGTCAATATCTACCTCTTTTTCAGCCTTTCTAGCTGCTACTACTACTACTACTACTACTACTACTTAACAAAAGTTACAAAATGTACCGTCAGAGGCGCGCAACAACAATTTTCTATTCAGGTCAATGATCTGCTGCATCCCTACTGCAGCCGCGTCGTGTCACTGTTACCTGTTATCTGTAAAGGAGAAAAAACCTTCAACGAATGTGTTCGTATCTGGTAAAAGAAGGGACGCACTGCTGGCGTTGACGTTGGCAATTAACCCACTATTTAAGAGATCTTCCGTTTGGCCGGCTACACGATGATTCCTCCACTGAAAGAATGGCCGTCAGAAAACGTAGGCAAACAACGACACGAAGAGGCACGATATAATTGTGGGATATTTAACAATGTTATGTGGTTGACTCTTTTGGCTTACATTGTCAGCAAGGCGTTCATTTTCTGCCCATGTTCAAACAAACAAGGATGTAAAAAGGTTTTGTGCTCCTTTTGACTTCCTTGAACAGTGACATGTCACAATGAAAGTGGACTAAGGCTGGTCAAATCTCGAGTCCCGACATCCTTTTCGATAAACAGGTAAAACTATATCTCTAACTGGACCCTTCTCAAAATAATCCATTGACGTAAGCAAATATAAAAGTATTAAACTTCCCACTTTTTCGGTAGCAAAATAACATACATGCGGTCTTGTCTTATCTATTCTTTGGAACGGCTAAGGAAAACGCTACTCGAGCCAAAGCACCATATATATATATATAGATATATATGTATCACAGGCTGTTTATAGCATATATTGCTGTAGACAATCAAGCTAGGCTCAATTAAACGAACAAGAGCACAAAGATCGTTTGACTTGTCATGTTTTTTAAGACGTAACCGCGTCGTACCGGTCAGACCGGCCTAATCATATTGGAAGAGAACGGCTATGCTAAACCAATATGATAGTATGCTACATGTCGAATCGTTCATTAAAGTTTCATATTTAAACGATGAGACCATGCTAGAAGGGCAGAATTTAGTCTACCATGAGCATATAGTATACGTGTGACCAAATATTTATTGACATTGTTCCAAGCGTGTTCTGTCACTGGAAATTTTTGTCAGCGTTAACAAGCTTAAATAGTTCTGCAATAAAACAAATTAGAGTTAGACCATCCACTCACACCATGCGCAATAACGTTGATTTTTCCAAAGCCTGGAAATTCTAATATTTACATTTAATTACAGATAATGTTGAATCGACAGTGAGGTTGTGTAAAAAAATTGTAGGAACAGAATATACCGAAAGAAGTCATGCCGCATTTTATGTTTTTTTTTTTTATTTTATGTTTTCTCGGCCAAAAAAAAGTTGTCTATGTGGGCTATAGTCTTATTATCTAGTACATATTAGACTGTTACAAACGACTCTGGATGATCTTGAAATCCTAGTTGAATTACGCATCACTAGCGGATAAATATCGCTGGCATTTCTCTAGATACTTGTGAGTGAATGCCGGTAGAATTTACTGCAGGAGAGATGAGTTAAGAAAAGATCTTTTTGTGTCGAAAATCAACCCTCAGTGGTCAAGTTTTTGTTCGTCGAACGCCACAGCACCGCGGCGATTTATCGAAGATTGGTGAAGACTTACCTAATCGGGCTTCAAGTGAAAGCACAGTACGTGAGTAGTGCGAACCTTTCAAGAACTGAGACTAGAGAGTCGAAGACCATCGTGGATGTGACCCGGATCGGGACCCAAATAACAGGAACGCATTACGCCAATCGAGGAGGCTTGTCAGAGCTTGGAGTCTAAGCGCTCTATCGGCCCAAACTAGAATCTCGTTTGTAACGTGTTGCAGAAGTACAACCCAGATGCTGAACATGCAAAGACTAGGCCCCCCATGAACTGATTCCAGGCCTACTGGGGATGTGCGTAGCGCATTCCACGTACAATTCGCAGCGCTTGAATCAACAAAAAGCCCATCCGGAGCATACAATCGTCGTAAACGAGGCACGGTTTAATTTATACGGAGGAGGACTAGGCTTCGCCTTAAAGAGGAAACGAGTTCCGTGACAGGTAGAGTAAGTTCGGATGTAAGGTAATGAAAGTACTCGCAATGGACATCAGGAGTATGTGCTACTACGAGGTAGCGTTCGTCAAAAACGAAACAATAAATGCGGTTCATTATCTCAAACTTTTCAAGGGACTTAATGATTGTTAGTGCAGCAACTGAAAGGTCGCAGTCGGGTCGCTCTGTGATAACGTTAAACTTCATCGGCATGCCCCAATTACTTCCCTAGTTATTTTGGATTAAACCTCCACCTCTAACTCCGACTCTGTGTGGTCTCCAGGCGTTCCAAACCACTCATTATCCATCTCCGCCTTTCACCTATTGTAAATCAATGTTTCAGCCAATTCACAAGTTAAATAAGCACTTATCATCTACTGGGCGCAGTTTTGGCATATTTGACTGTAAATAGATAAAAAAAAAAAAAAAAAAAAATTATATGATATTTTTATAATGGTTGTCTACAATATCGTCTTCGCAGGCCGTGTAACCAACTGCAAAAATATACCAAAAAAAATTGAATAAATCTATGTTATTACAGAAAAATTACCAATCCAGCGTCGGAGCTAGACGCCTATAGTTTAGGTGGGACATATATATAACCAAAACGCAAAAAAGGCGATCGTTTATAATCAGGCAGACCTAAGACTATCATGTGAGAGATTCAATATTGGTGTCTAGAGCCTCATAATAGGTTTTTAGAGATATTAAAAATCTGAATACGTCAAACATACGTCATTTGCAGCCTACGGTTTGAGATTCCTACCTGATTCCACCACTAAAAGATAAGTTTGCCTTTTATCAAGTTCAAATTTACCACACGGTTACCGCGTATCCGTAATCGTCTGTTGCACCCTATACGAGGTCGGCGAACAAAGCACGATAAAAATAACGTTTCATTGTGCTAAATAAGCCGTAGTAATGTAATACGGCCCTGTCGTGCATTGGAAATCATACCAGCTTAAAAAGGATTCATAGATCGAAGCAGCACTACTGCTATTATTATTATTGTTTATTTGAATGAAGCCTAGTTTTGTGAGCTTCATCCTTCAAACGTAAGAAGCTTTGGCCGCACACAAATATATTTAGCGTCTCCTGCCAGCCACCCATTAGTCATCCTTCAGTTGGCGTATAAAAGTAGCAGCATTGGCTGTTTTGAATCATTTTACGCAACCGTACGATTATAGAACTTCATTATAAAGCAAGAATAATTCTATATGATAAAATTTGTACCTCGTACCAAAATGGTTCATGGTCTACAGCTGCTTAATGTTACATTACACTGCTTTGAGCTTATTCACCGCTCACTGTCGGGATCGACAAAAAAAAGACCGCCACTGGGCTTAAACGAGAGAGAAATGCTAACAATAAGTTTACGTAGGGGTTTCGTCACTCTATCGTTTAGTTTTTGCCAGTTTTCTGCTTCTTCTTTTTTTGTTACGTACGAGGGAAAACCCGATTGAACACAACTCCCAAAAGTTATATATTCACGTGTAACGTATGGCAGTATCGTACGTTGAGAGACGCTATACATATCTTTATTATTTTACATCAGCTGAATTCATCTCTCCGCTGACTGATAATAATAGTTTCAACACCGATGATGCCTTATTATGTCCTCGCTTCGCCCCCATCACCTGAGCGCGCAAAGGGCGTCTTTGCAGAATCCAAACACAGTGGGCCATGTGCCGGGCAGAAAGAAGTACGCCACGCATGCGTAGAGGCATGCCATGCAGCAGGTTCCTGCAATTTTACAGCACGATCGACATGTCGTCAGCGTTTATGTGCAGGCATAAACATCTGCTTCCATTGTACAAAGTTATCATTTATCATCGCGGTCGGTCTGGACGCGTGATGCTCTCGCTACCACAACACTATACATGCAACACTTTTTTCTCCATAAACTACATATATTTCGAGTTTTTTTTGTCCGATACTCCTTTACATTTATTTACCTCGTACGTCACCAAATTCAGTAGGAACACATGTTACCACTGCACCATCACGGGGACTTCCTTTCTGTATTTGTGCTACTACAGTTCAGTTGGAGGTTTTAGTACGTTTGCATGATTGGCTCGAGTATCAACGCGTATGGCTAGGATTGCCAGCGTTTTTATTGCATACCTCCGCACGCGACGGCAAATGTATCTACGGCACGTTCCCGAAGAACCATCCTACGCCAGCGACGCTTCGAAACGATTTGATTGGCGGTAACTAGACCGACCGCTTGTAGGGTGTCCATCTCTGAAAGTGATTGCGTATGTCTGTATGTACATACGCAATCAATTACATTCACGTAATAAGTAGTCAGACTTAGAACTCCTGTGGATCAACGCATCCCTTACAAATGACCGTAGTTTTTAACTTTGCTCCTCGCAAAGCTACGTTTAGCTAATGTAAATACGATTACGACCATTACAAATAGTACAGTGTATTTCTACATAAAACTCGACCTTTTTCTACTACTCTGGTCATAAATATCTATCATATTGTTATCAGTGCGGAGCTGCTTCTGTAACTCCAGGATTAGTAGCCCTGCGAGGGTACCCCTTGTATATATATATATATCTATATATCTATATATATATATATATATATATATCTATATATATATATAGACATATACGGAAAAGCCGCATTCACTTTTTGACAGCATCTCTCTCTGCAATGCGAGCGTTTGGATCTCTTTTGCTCGGACTACAACCTCTGCTAGCTACCACCTTTAACTGTAGCATCCACTCCCTGGGATCTATATGCCGTAGTCAACGCATATGAACAAGAGAAAAATTTAACATTGAATTGCATAGAATAAGGACTAATTTATAGTATACAAAAGGACCTAAATGAAAATGTGTGTATTTGAAGTAACGTCGGGACCTCATGCATCTAGAGCGACTAGAAACGAGCGACTATCTTACAAATCGAACATATGGGCGTCGAAGTATGAAATAGAGGTAGCTATAGATAAGCGCAGAGCCATATCTTTTGCGCTAGTAGCACAAATAAACAGAATGTCTTACTCAGTTCGAAACCGACCTTCTAAGACACTCCTCGAGAAGATCAGCGCTACGCCTGCGCACCATATTCTGATTCTTGGTCATATGAGCGATCTCGTCCACATGTAAGCTGTGGCGCGTTATCACCTACAAAAAATAAACATTAAACTAGTACTTATCATGTAGGTGTATTTTACTCGAAAATGGTGCAGCGTATTGAACTCATGACATATCGAAATTTCGCGGTAAAGTTTTAGGTAACATGGAACTTTCGCACCGGTTCTACCTATGTTGAGCCTCAGGAAATCGTGCGAAGTATGAAAGCGTATTGATAATGGTCGTTTGCAAATTTGAACACAAAAAATCGTTACTTCGAATTAGTATGGCATGTCAATAGAGTTTTATTAGCTAGTACTAGATTCGATAGACCCTTTTCAGAAGCGTTTTGCAACGATGACAGGACAACTAAGATGTAATGTAGACCTAGTAGCGCTTATCTTGGTATGATTCACGAATAGCTGTTTGAGCACCCACCTCAGCCGAATGCGCTCTCCAGACACCGTCGGCCATACTGCAATGGTTCCGATGTAACGGCGGGCGAAGATCTATATTGCGCATATGCATCTCCAAGTCATTGTGGCCGGGTACTTCGAGCCACTCTCGAGAACAGCGTCTGCTATTGGCGCTCCACACCAGGGGCGTGCCATGTCCATGGGCTGCGTTAACCGAAATTAGTGATTCACGTCTGCTGAGTTCACTGCGAAAGCTTAACATTGAGTTATGTGGTCCCGCAGATTCACCAGGCTGACTGTTACGGCCCTTTTCCAGGCGCCTCTGATCGATGGAGCTACTCGCGATTGAGGCGTTGGGAACCTCGTGGCCGGCAGCTAAACCGCCGTTACCCTCAGTGTAAGCCCCACCATATCTACCGTCAGTAGAAAATGAACCTATCCCCGAGGCGGTTCGACGGTGGCGCGGCGAACCACTGCTGAGAAATTCCGAAGGTGGGGTCGGGAAATCCAGACAGAGCGTTTGTGGACGAGCGCGACGTTGTGGTGGCGTAGTCACAACAGCATTGTTGTGGTTATTATTATCTGCCCCTGGTTCATCTTTGACATCATCGCTACATCGATTTGTTGCAGCATCCTGAGCACATCGGCATCCGGTAGTACTACTAGTGCGGCTACAAGTACCGATACTTCTAGAGCTAGCGTCCTGGCTAAGCAGGTGGTCAGAAGGAAGCGGGAGCCAATCGGATGGCATAGAAACCTCGTTGCAAATACCGCCTTCTCGATGAAGCCAATCTGATAGAAGATGCCGAGGCCCTTCGGAACCTGACGAAACGCACTTCGACCGCTGCCCTCCGTCCTCCTGTTTCGACTGCTCGTGGAAATGATACCCCGTGGCTACCGGCTGACAGTTCTCTCGGGGTTGTGCCATTTGCTTATGCTGAGCATGGTTATCTACGTAGGTATGTTTGTTTAATATAGTATTGTTGCTATTATTGTGTGAGTGAGTGGAGGTTCGGTATACGGGCCTGTACTGTATAGGTATTATATCGTCTGGCTGGCCTTTGTAGCTATGCGGAACAGAAGGCTGGCGATGATTTGGCCAGCGTCGGACTGCATTGTGACCAGTTGGGGACGGTAAAGGAGAATTTCCCCGTGGATATTCATCTGTAACATAGCGGCGATGCCAGAGAGTAACAGTTGTTTCTTACATTTGTGTACATTTGGCTGCGTAATAATAGCTATTCGTACTCAATACTCTGATGACTTTTGTTGACACGTAGTTGTGGAAAAAACAAATATAATGGATGTATGATAGATACAGAAACTTTTTCAGAGGTCCTGTATCTACTGCAATGATTATTCAAAACGACAAGAAAGGTAAAGTTTTGAAGAATCAAAAAGGTTTTCACATAGCTCTTCGCTTCTGTCTTTACAAGAACGCTCGTTCATTAGAGAAGAGGACAGCTCTGAAGGTAGCAGTTTACTTCTTTAGCTGATATCTTCTAGAAGCATTCTCTATTTTTGTATAATCAGCTTCAAGAAACCTCTCTTATGATTCCTCCCGAATGAACGGGACTTTATTGTAAAAAGGACTAATCTATATGTTATACGAAGTAATCAACTTCATGTTCAGTATAGAACCTAGCTCGCGATCACCTGATAAGCATGTATTTAGCAAATTGAGAATAGCTTACCGTTCTACATGTGTTTTACAATACAAAATACACTAAAATAACATTTTTTTTTTTCTTTTCAAGCGCACAGAATAGATTACGTATGTTACCTTGCCGAAAGCCTGCTACGTGTGGTGCGGACAGAAACCCATTTGACTGGGTAAGCGACCATTTTTATTCTAGAATTTTCTAGTGACATCGATGCTGTCCCAGGTAACATTGCAACAACGAAACTATTATGACTCATATTGATATACTCGATAGTCGCGTTGGTTTTTTTGCAAACGTACCCGCTGCTTTTTCAATCATACCGATAATTATAGATTGATTTAACCATAGCTATCGTTAATAAACACCTCCACCCCCAATTCTACCAATATATAGTATCCCACCGAAAAGGTAATGCCCACTTTCTGTTAGTCGACCATCTGTAGCAAGTTTAGTTCCGTATAAAGAACGCAATCCTATAGATGAAGGACGCTATTCTGGAAATTCGAAGGTTTAGTTCGATTGCGAACGTTCGTACGAGCTCCATTTGACCAAGACATTGGAACGATCTCAAAGTAGTTTTGTATTAATAAAAACCTTTATAACGTGTATGACATATGGTTATGTTGTTAATTCAATGTTTTCTTTATCTCCTCATTACCATACAGAATATTTTATTTATAGTGGAATATGTAGAAATATATAGCTCTATGAGAAATACTGCCTTGGATCAAGTGTCCCTTTTGTATCCATCTCTAGCCAATTGACAACCAGTGACAAATCACATGACAATTAATTATAATTTATCAAAGTTAATTTTCAGTTTTTAAAACAGCAAAATATCTGTATTACAGCGGGAAGCGTAGGGATGGATGTCTGTATGAAGTTGAAATTTAGTTATTTAATTTAATATTACCCGAATGCCAGTGAAGTCGGCGTAATACTGAACAAACAAAGCTGAGTGGAGAAGAGCAATACTGAACATTTTCCCTCTACAGAGTATACTGGTAGATTTTGAGAGGTAGTCAAGTTATTAGCTAAGTTATGGCAACAGGTACGTAAAGCAACGACCGCCATCGTGAACCGCCAAATTTTACACCGACGAAGATATCCATGTATTTTTATTTATTTTTTTTTTATAGAAGGATATAAGATGAATTTGAGATCACTGTCACTATCGGATCTACCCAATAGGATGCAGACGATGAGGCTCATCAATTGAGTACATTTCGACGTTTCCGTGAGCGCATGCGCCTAAAATTGAGCAAAAAAAAAAATTACTACAATTGTATTAGTACGCTGCTTTATTGCTGGTATTGTCTAATCTAGTAAGTTCTTTTTTTAACAGTGAAAATTTTATCTTATGATAGCTAGAGAGCTTATCCGCTGAAAATAGCAGGTTGATTCGAAACCATATATCAGCGTCAATGTTGAGCACTTTTTTAGACATAGCTAGATAAGTTAACTCGGCATTTGCGACTTCTCCAATTCCGACAGAATACTTCGCGTAAGTTGTCTGTTTCAAACTAAGCACGAATGACGACGATTGAAGCGACGATTAAAGCTCGTTTCGGCAATTTGCTAGAACCAATAGGAGACAGTATTTGCATATGGAACTTTTTCTCCCCTATATAAATTTAAAAAATCTTATTATACATTTATTATGCAACGAGCTGTACATTTTGTCTCAAAGGTGAAATATGTATATGTATCTGCTATAATAATAGCAGTATTATGTGGCAATTCTACTACAACCAGAACTCGTACGAAACGAAAGGGGTAAGTAAGCGTGGCTTTAAGTGGTTTATTTTAATGCTAAATATTTTCCAATTATTGAAACCTATCGTTCGTGTAAATAGACAAAGAATAGGTTTTCTCCGACTCTTCCATAGTTTTATTAGTCGGACGCCAAACAGGACGTGTTTCGTTAAGGACACGTTTAAAGCTAGTCTCGTTCGACAATCAGAGTTATACAAAAACAGGCAATGTGTGTGTTATACAGCCTGAATCGAACTCACGATAGGGATCAATTTTAAATGAATCGAACATAACAGAAACGCATCGATGAGTCAGCGCAGCTGTCGATCGCTACCGGTAGAACCATTAGAAAGTACAAATTCATATTCATAACGCGTATATCGCATGAGCGCTCCGAGCGACATTTTAATAATCGTTTGGGTAAATGGTTGGGAGGCCAAACGTCACCAAAATTGATGGATCAATATTCGAGAAATTTATTATCTCTATTCAATCTCAAGGCGATTTGCGAAACGGCGTTAGTATAGTAAACACGTAAATGTTACCCTACGGCGGAATGGTGCGCGCTTCTATCGCGTCCCTGTTGTTATTTCAGCTTTGATCTAATACAGATAACAGAAACGAAGGCTGATTGCTATTCTCCCAATAAAGCTCCCAAATATAACATCAAATACCTGTTATTACCGTAGATATGCACGAAAAATAGCCGCAGGTATGCAAGCGAGGCGAAGTATCTTCACGTAAAAGACATGTCTTTCCTGGCGAACTTTTCTTTTACGAGCTTTTCATTCTATATTCTTCCTCCATCTTCTGAGAAATTAAGTGCCTCAGTCATCTGTTTGATTTTATGACTTTATTATCTGTTAATTCAAAATCAAATCCTGTGAAGTATCACGGCTGTCGAACATCATTGTTTGATAGCAGAGTATGAGCACGGGCAAAACTCGGTACTCGTGAAAGATCGTTCAGCCGTATTTTGCCATTCAATTACGTGCAGGCAGGTTTAGAATTAATAAATAAACCTGTGGTCATATCCCGTATGAACAGCTGTTCAATTAAAACAAAAAAGTAGTTCCATATATTTCTAACGAAAGTAGCCGCGTACAGATGCTGCGATAAATGATAGTGCCAGCTTACATGAGCTTTTTAAGATATTTCATAATCTATCTTAAGCTTTAATACTTTTTCGCTGTTTTTTTTTTTATCAATAACATCATAATCTATTGCATATTAAAGATGTATGAGTAAGACACACGGTGAGAGGCATAATTCCTTCGATGTATCACAGCATATACGCCACGCCATTGTATACAATGGTAAAGCGATTCCAAGGATGATCGAAGTCGAAGGAAAACGTTTATCCTTCGATCAAGACTAATGATTTGAAAGTGTATTGGTTTTTCCTCAATACCCCATACCCCCATACTGTCATCTAGGGCTTTGCAGGTTTTGCTTTCACTCATAGAATTCGTGTTTTAATAATGTTTCAAAATAAGATTTACTGTGAGCCTGCTCGACAAAAAATTATCGCTGCACTTAGACATGCATAGGTGTTTCTGAACGTGCATGACGCGTACAAACCCTTGAACGTACGCCAGACATTCAAATGTTCGAATGAATTAATAAGTATTTTACTTACAAAGAAACTGAAGGGGAGACCTTGCCTGCAGCAAGAGTCTGTTGTTCTCTGTTTCCTTTGTTGCGTTGCCCATGTCCCTATTAGGCTCAAAGAACTTTTTCAAACAAAACATTTTTTTCTTCTTTTTTTTTCTTTTCCTTTTTTTTTTTTATAGCATGCAGCCAGATATAGAAAGTTAGGCTAATATGCACTTTATGCACGTACCTTAACTGAATCGAAGATGGTTACAACTGGATAGAACATGGTAACGAGGGGGTACGCTTCGTGCTCGAATAGAATATTGAACAAGTTCAGAGAGACACGACCGGTGATGACTCAGCGCTTTTACAATCTCTACCATTACCCTCAATAAAGCATTGCTGATGCCGTTAAGTTTGGCAGGCCTCTAGAACTTACTGTTGAGGCATGCTACTAAGCCATCTTTCGTAATTTTAGTCAAGCACCGCAGCAATGCCATGTATTTTCTTATGTGTGCGCCAAGACTTTATTGTAGGCTAGACAGCTCCAAAATCCCAACTTAATTCATATGCATACATAAATGTGTACTGCTTAATATCGACGATTCTATCGTTCAGCTAAAGCCCAGGAAAGGAGAAAGGGGATCAGAGGAGGTAAACGCTTTTTTGCTCTTTACCTGAATATTTTTTACTGTTTGAGCTAGCAATAAAAAGCTTAGAAAGCTTAGCATGCTTCCGCGTTTAGAGTTTCCTCTGAACGTGGATCGAATCAATTTGAACCATTGCTCTGTGCAATCGGATCGACGGATCCTTTGTGGCCGTACAAAAACTTTAGCTTCGTTGGTAATTGTACAGCCTTAACATAGCAATAAGTTTCAGTAATTTGAGTATTTACTTTGCAATTCTCGAAGCTCCAAGGGGTCGCGATTACATTCATCCTAATAGAAATTTCTAGACGATATCAACGTGCCTCAGAGTGGTATATTTCTATCGTTGGGGACACGAAGAGCTAGAGCCTCCTTTAAGGGTAAACTAACCAAAACTTTGTACACTTTTGTCTTATGTGCGTAGCATGGTAATGATAATTAATAGGTCAACCGCAGCTGGCACACAAAGAAGGCTGCGAGCGATCTTCACCGTGCGTAACTCAATATCTAGCTAAGCGTAACGTGTTCAAATAGTATCCGCGATAACAATTTGAAAGAAAGCACCAGATTGCATGCCCACGCCTTCTGTCTCAAAGAAGATCATGAAGACAGCCACGATGACAAGAATGTCCTATCGACGGTCGGTCGAACCATCCCCATTCGACTGATCCGGGTGCTCTGCGTTCAAAGCACTTAAACTAACTATGTGGTAGTGTTCTGCCTCGACACTGGATAAGGTCGATGGCACCTTAGAGAATAAACATGTCCTAGAAAAGGTGCAATCTGTCGTATTAAATGCGCATCTCTGAGATCCTCGTTGGAAGGATTGACAGCCGCACCCCATTGGCTATTACTCGACGTCATACGTTAAAAAAACACATCTAGAGTATCTCCAGACTTTTAGATAGAGCGTAAAATAAAGCATTGCACACACACATAGTGAATGTCATTATTCAGTCTGCATGGGAAGAGCAACAGGCGATTTTTCTGATCCTGCGCTTTTTCTCTTAAATCATTTCTTTGCCTTCGCCATATGAGCAACGATGCTTTCGATATGGGCATGGAAACGGTATCGCGCGAAAATGATGATGTTTTTAACCATGCCGACCTAAGCGCCTACACTTGGGCCTTCTCTTATGTATAAGAAACACTGATAGCCATCGAAAGACGATGCTCAGCCTCGCTGAACTTTATTCCGTTGAAGTTTGATTTGTTTATCCTGCTGGACATACCTCAAAGCCAAATTTCAGCCATCCCATAGAAAATGCTGTCATAACAGTCACGCTAGAGGTCCACAGGCACAATCAGCTATTGCGGTCGTTGATGTCGGCAGTGGGGTTAAGCACTTGTTGGCAGACAATGGCAGCGTATATGCAAAATATCTTCTGCAGGCGAACTCGTTTCACACGTTTCGGAACGCTTAAACCCAAGAAGCCCATCGGATGTACAGAGTCACAAGTTTCTGCCAGTATCGTTAGTACCAAACAGTACTGCCTAGGTATAATTACGCTTGCCTAGAGCGTGCTCGAAGAAGTACTACATAAGAAAGAATACTACTAACTTCCTTTATGAGTCAACTCTTAAAAATGAAGAATTCGCTCGCCTTCGATCCTGTTCTCTACTACACTAGAAACTTTATTGTACGCAATCTATTTTGTAATTTTCCATGCGGATGGGCTGATGAAGAACGGCTTTGAAGTAACTCGTCATGTCGACGGAACCCGTTGCCTAGTGCAAATCAACGGCATCTTCGTCGCGGCATTGCGGACGGCCCTCAGCTCTTGTGTAATGGAACCGCTAGAGCTTTTTTGCAACGATGGCCGACAACTGGCTAGCGTAACACCCCTCATTTTTCACGATACTATAGATAGCATGTATAATAAAACGTTCTTCGCCACACATTCAACGTCTAGGTTATAAAACGTAACCGCGCAACCCTTCATTTAATTGTATCTTTTCTGATCTTGATAAGTTTTAGGTATGTGCGTACTACTGTAAACACACGTCTTCTCTATCGGGCTATCAATAAACATTCGCACATCACTTCAATATTGTTCGAACTGCCACAGACGAAGTTAATAACACGTCCCTGGGAGAGTATTATTACAAATAATAATAAGCAACAAATAAACAACAAGGTAAAAAAGAGGCATGCAGAAAGTGTACGTCCTATGAGAATATTTTGTTCAATAAATCACCATTGGCAAACAAATGTGCAATCGTTTCCTCATCAAATCCGCACTCCCTGTTGTCGGAGCGTCAGGGAATGTGTCCCGAGCGTCGGAGGGCAGAAATGACAGGCGTTAACAGAGCAACCGTGCTATGTAGGATCGAATAGGGTATTCTGCTCCACGTGCCTGTACGTACGTACGTAGTGCTCATAACATTCTTATTGAATGATAAGTGCGTTAAAGAATTCTTCTAATACTTTTACACATTTTGGCATTAAAACTACCCTAACTGTTGTTATTCTTCTTCTTGGTAGACAAGTTCTATTTCTACGCCCGTGTAAAAATTCATACGAAGGCCTGGACGTTAGCTAAGAAACTTTTATGTTGCCAATCAAAGTCGTACCTATTTGAAGGCCTACATACCTGATGTGTCGGAGATGTAACACCAGTTATTCTTTTCCGAGCCTTACCATACGTCTCAACTAAAATATATGTAAGATCAGAAGCTAGAGGGCGCTTGAAAAACAGAAACATTCCATTAGTGAACGTCATTTCCGCTGGATGAGCCATATCTCTTAACACCCCTATCTTCTGCATGGTGTCCTCACCGATAAGCAATGTCGATGCAATAACGCAGAGACCTCATATCATCCAGCAGGAGACGCTACCGACTGTGATATACGCTATAAGTTTAAGAGAAAACGGTCCGAAGACGTTGCCAGCCATTTTGAATGCCTCCGTTCTTTAGACAACGCCAGCTCTAAATTTTAGATAGATAATAACCACTCGTATATTAAACTACAGATCACCTTTACTATGGCAGAAATGCCACATGACTGGTGTAGGAAAAAGCAGATTTACACGAAAGACGGCAGACGGTTTTCGTGTAAATGTTTTCTTCGAATGCTTCTACCTCATCTGTGTATTCGAGGCAATGATCGCACGTAACAGCATGTCTATTGCTTGGCTAATTTCTACGAATCGCATAACAACATGGCTCTATATGGCTCAATGCAGTACATAGACACAAAGGCATGTCGAAATATGCCAGTATGTGCGAAAACTAAATACCCATCTATTGCACGTAGCGTATTCTTCAGTTATCTTCAATAAAGGACGAGGACAGAAATTGATACGCTTCTACCGTGCCAGTGGTTTGCGTACGTCGTACAAAGGGTACGGGTTGATTTGTGATTGGTGTCAGTTGTTAAACCCATACAACGGGTGCTTGTCACACGGTCTCGGTGTAAATAGCACACAAGCACTAAATAAATACACGTGTGGTCTTTGTTTAGTGCCGTCATTGATTTATTTCTTAATTGTATTTACAGCAGTATTGTTCTGTTTATATCGAGTAGACAAAAATTATTTTTCGTTAGTATTCCATATGTCATGTAGAACGCGTTAACCTAATTATCGGACAAACTTTATGGTAGCTAGACTACGGTAGACCTACGCTTGAACTCGTTTGCTTCTTTCACGCTATATTACGGAGGTAATTTCTCCAAAAATTTGAAATTATTGCCAAAAATGCGGAAAAATATTGGCCTAATTTTATATAGGGTGAGATTTTGTATAGGCGTAAATATACACTATATTTGTTTGCCACAAAGTATTCATCGGCTTCATGTGAAAATACAAATATATCGGTTTAAATTTAAGCGCAATAGGTAGGCGTATCACATGTATGTCGTAAATATATAAAATCACAATGCTATTATTATCTATTTAATAAGTTAGACTAAAGTATTCGATAGATCTTGAACTAAGCAGGAAAAGACTGGTTGGTATCTAGAGCTATCTAGGTAAGTTGGGGTCAGCTTCTTCGTAACTAAGCTAAATACCTTTAAACAACATTTACGTTACAGCTATATTATTATATATAT